GTGAAAAATCAACCCCTCCCCAGTAGCTCTTGGACTGAGAGAGTGTGTCTTCACAGCAGAGGCTCTGCAGCAAGCTCAGATGTGAGCTGAGGCAGGCACAAAGCTCTGCTGGGCATCTCTGTATCACAGGCTGTGAAAATCTAGCCTTTGGAGAGAGCTTAAAATCACAAGCACTGTTTCCTACTATGTGCCTGCGTCCAAGTCTGAGAGCTGAGTTATTGATCCCTATTTTCCTATGGCACAGAAATGAAAAATAGTGCCAGGCTCCTCTGCATTCATGGCAGGGAGGAGAGCGATAGGTCTGGCTCGCTCATGGGTCTGCTGACATGAGCAGATACATTGAGGGTAGAGCAGAGGAGAGAGCAAAAGCAAAATCAAAGTGTGGTCTTCTGAGCATTAAACCATCATCTGTATGATCTAAGCCCAGTCAGCTCTGGGGTACATTAAAAAATATTGCTGCCCTACAACAGATAACTCATAAATACAGACTCTCCTCCACCTCCTGTTGATAGCTCTGCCCGGAAATCCCCAGCACAATCCAGCCCTTGCCCCCTGCTCACCAAGCCGCTGCTGCCGAGTGCCAACCCCTCATGCCCCACGGGCGCTTCAGTGTTTGCAGGGTGGGCTGGCAACAGGCAGCCAAGGAGAAAAGTGGGAGCAACAATGGGCTTTGCTTTTGCTGGCACCTCGCAACCTGCCAGAGTGGTGAGAGCTTCTCTCCGGGGAGACAGGCGCGGAGACAGCAATTGATCAGTCTGGCTGTGGTGAAAAGCCAGCAAAACGTCCCTGAAGAGGTTTTACTGCCCCTGGCTGCATGTGAGTGCCAGGCGTGAGCTGAGAGTTGGCTGCAGCAGAGCCCAGTCTCAAACAGACTGGGGGAAACAGCCAGGACCTACACAGGACCCACAGAGAGAGAGAGAATCCCTCTTCCCTCAGCCACCTTCCACTTTTCCCATGCCAGCTTGGGGCCTGGCCACTGCTCACCAACCTTAGGGGCTGCGCTGAGCTGCAAGGGCTTGCTCTGTACTCCAAAAGTGCCAAGAGCTGCAGAAAGAAGCAGTTTGAGGACAGTTTGCTAAGAAACAAGCGGGAGATGGGCACAGCTACTTGTTGGAGAGGGGTATCCTGGAAAGGATCCCAAAAAGGAGACCATGGCTGAGAAACCTATATATGCACAGGTGGCTCTGAGTACTGGGGAGGGGATGAAGGGGCTGCATGATGGAGGGGGCATGCTCACACAGCATGAGGAGACAGGCAGGCAAGTAGGCAGAGGCAAGGAGGGGATCAGGACAAAAGCAGCGTATTTACATAAGGCTGTGGATGAGGAGCACAGGAGGTGTGCAGAAGACTTGCAGGGGAGCAAGGGATGGGTCTGCCCTTGTGAAAGAGCAGAGAGACTCAAGCAAGAAAATAAGGACCCCCACATGGATGTAGTCTCCACCAGAGTTGGCTTCTCAGGCACAGACAAGGGAGTAGCCCCTCAGCAGCTGGGTGGTTGGGGAGGCTGCAGACAGCCAGACAAGATGACTGGGGCGGGGAAAACCTCAACATGGAAAGAAGAGGGCTATTGGCAATGGCAGAAAGAAACTTGGCCATGTCCCTGCTTCATGACATAACGCCGGCGGGGAGAGGGCGGGCAGCTCCCATCACAGGAGGGGAGTTGGTCCAGGCTGCAGGATCAGCCTCCTCCCCAGCAGAGCCACTCATCCACAGACCAATTCCATTCCCACGCAGGACAGGCTTTGGGTGACCATGCTACAGGGAAACAGCTGGTCACAGAAATAGGAGGGAGGGCATCCCCCACCTAGGGAATGCTGTCCCGTCCCAGTTCTGTCGGCTCGCTGGTCCCAGTGCTTCCCAGTGCAGCGCCGGAGATCTGCAGCTCCACCTGGTGGCTCTATGGCCAGGGCTGCTGAGGCTGTGGAGGAGAAAAGGCGCTGGGGGAGGGGGAGAGTTGGTGGGGCAAGCAGGACGGAACACTCAAGAAACCAAATCCACGCGGCCCATGGATCACACAGGGCTTTCTGTTATGTACATTTATTTTTTTTAACCAATATCCTGCAGGTTGCACATGTGAAAAAATGGGAGAATCTTACATCAACAGAAAAAGCAAACCCACAGTGAGCAGAGTAAAGCGCCCTGCAGGACACAGCAGGGAGGAGAGGAGAGGACTGCACCTCAGAAACTGCACAGCCAGTGATTTACCTCTCTGCCATGTTCAATTTCACAGAATCACAGAATATTCTGAGTTGGAAGGGACCCACAAGGATCATCGAGTCCAACCCTTAAGTGAGTGGCCCATACAGGGATTGATGCTATGCAAGCTGTACTGGGTTTGGTTGTTGTCTTTCCTTCAGCTCGTCTTTCTTTCACTAATTCAGTCATGGAATCTTTGCTACGATATCCATCTTCAGCATCAAATCATTTACCAAGTCAGGAGAGGATGGATGCATCTGCCTCAGTGGTTCTGCAGGTCTGTTCCTTGTTGGACTAATTTGACAGACAGTCCTAAAACCAATTTCAGTACCCAAAGTAGTTTGGAGGTTGTTCACTTCAGCTCTCACTATTCGAGGTAAGCAGCAGGTCCCCGGGTATCTGTGTTTCAGCTCCTCAACAACCCAGGTGATGTATGAACCCCAGGGAAAACAGCAGAGAAAAGCAAGCTATGCAGGTCACTTTGGGGGATGTTAGAAACCGTCATGTCACTCCAGCAGCCTGCATCCCAGCAGGGGCCAGGCTTGCTGTACAGGCACAGGGTGAGTGCTCAGAGTGTTCTGCTCCTGCTGCGGCCTGTCCTAGGGAGCCAAAGCCTGAGCACAAGAAAGGAAACCAAAAGGAGTTTTGCCCACAGTGCCAGTTCTTCTGCAGCTCCTGTGTGTCTTTTTCCATATGCAATGACTGGCAAGGGGCAATGGGTCTCTGGTCCTGCCCCTGTGCTGCCCACAAGGCATAGCCCACCAGGGGTGGAGTGGGGTGACAGTCTTGCCTAACACAAAAAAGTCAACCAAAACACACAAAGAGGAAGAAACAAAAGGAAGCGTTTCAGCAACAAGGTTAATCTGAGTGCTCCCTGCCACAGATGATTTGGGAGGTATTAATGGGGTCAGGAGAGCAATCAAACTGTTTATACGAAAAAGAAATATAGGAGAGGCTCTAAAATTTGTGTCATGAAGATCTTACCAATCTCTGCTACCTCACTTCTGATTTTTCCCACCACTTGCTCCCCCCAGGACCCCAGAGAAGATGGCCTTTAGTAGCCATGGTTGTATTTAAGGCTTATGATGTGCAGGCTACAGGCTATTTCAAAAGCTTTTTCAAGCTGTTGTGGTTTAAGCCCAGACAGCAACTAAGTACCACACGGCCTCTCACTCAGTGCAACCACCTTGCCCCAGTCGGATGGGGAGGAGAATAGGGAAAGGGTAAAGTCTGTTAGTTGAAATTAAAAGTATATAATAATTGAAACAAAGTAAATATAATAATAGCAATAATAGTCATGAACAGAGAGATAATAAAGAGATGTAAAACTCAATAAAGATAAGTAATGCACACCACAATTGCTCTCCACCTGCTGACCAATGCCCAGTCTGTCCCCCAGGAGTAATTGATCCCTTCTGGCCAACTCCTCCTCCGTTTATTCACTGAGCAGGACATTCTGTGGTATGGAATATCCCTTTGGCCAGTTTGAGCCAGCTGACCATGCTCCCTCCCAGCTCTTTGTGAACTGCTTGCTGGCAGAGCATGGGAAACTGAAAAGTCCTTAACTTAGAGTAAGCACTACTTGAAACAACCAAAATATCAGTGTGTTATCACCATTATTATTCCCATATTAAATCCAAAGTACAACATTGCAACAGCTACTAAAAAGAAAACTATCCCAGCTGAAATTAGGACACAAGCACTTACAGACCAACTTCGCCTCATTTTTCTGGGCCAAAGTCACGGCCAGAGGATATGCTGTCCCCACGGGTAAGTTCTGCAGGAGCCCAGGAGCTCCCCCACAGGAACGGTAAGCCTGAGGGGTGTCTGACTGCAGGGGGACAACAGGTTTTCTCTCAACGTTATGATGCCCACCAGATCCCTAGAGCCCTGCAGAGCAAAGTAGCAGTAGACAAGAGTCAGCATCTTCCCCTTTGCCCAAACCCTGTAGTCCAGTAAGTGTAATTTCCCCATAATTGACCCAATTAGGCAGAGACTTTGGACTTGCTGTCACAGCCTTCTTATTCTTGCCCACTTTGGGTACCCTTTGCCTCCACTACTCCACTACAGGGTCCCCAGCCTGGCAGGGGGTTGTATCTGCTTTTTCAGAGCCCTAGTCATAAAATTCTAGAATGGTTTGAGTCAGAAGGGACTGTAAAGATCATCTTGTTCCTGGGCAGGGACACCTTCCACTAGACCAGGTTGCTCAAAGCTTTATCTAACCCAGCCTTGAATATTTCCAGGGATGGGACATCCACACCTTCTTTGGGCAATCTCTTCCAGTGCTCACCACCCTCGCAGTAAAGAATTTCTTCCTGATATCTAATCTAAATATACTCTCTTTCACTCTAAAATCATTACCCCTCGTCCTATCACTATATTGCCTGAAAAAGAGTCCCTTTGTGAAAGCTCAGCACCCAGATGTTTTTGGAGGAGAAAGCAATTTCTGGGCCCCTGGTGACACAAGGGACATCTGCTGGTGCACAGGGCCAGGTACACAGCTCATAGGAGGTAGTGCCACCATCTATGGGCACCAGGTCCTCGTGACTCTGCTGCAAACCTACATCTCTAGGCGCCTCTCAGCTGCTTTGTTGGCCCAGTTCCATCAAGGCCAAAGGCAGGGGAGAATAAGGATGTGCCTCCCTGGAAGCTGAGCTCAGACAGAGGATAAAGGCAGCACCAGCTTCTCTCCAAGCTGCTCACACACACTTAGAAAAGGCTTTAGAGAAATTAAAAAGCACAAATGCATCTTTAGGCTGAGGATAAAGGGCTTGTTTTATTCTTGCAAGTAATAAACCTCATCCTTTGCATGGGGTAGCTGAGAGTTATCCACATACGGAACATATTCCCTAAGAAAGCATCACACCCACCAGCTTCCCCAAGGCTTTGGGACAAGGTGCCTGGCTGAGGCATCCTGATGTGTTTCCATGCCACCAGGAGAGCCTCCCATGCCAGGAGAGCCCAGCTGAGCCATAAGCCAGTTTTCCAGGTGCTCCATCAGCTCCTCAAGCCATCACCTCAGCTCTTCTTTGCAATCCCCAGGCCCCACTACATCCTGGTGAAATAAACCACAAAGAAGATGATCATTGCCAAAACAAAGAGCAAAGAGCTGCCAATGCAGCAGCAGCATTTCCAGGGGAAGTTGCTACTGCAGGGTGAGGGGCAGTGGGTCGAGGCTCTGTGGGGCCCTGAGCCCTGGTGTTTCAGGGACCCATCTGCATCTAACAAGCACTCCCTGTCAACACATTCCGGGGCTGGGCTTGACTTGGTGTGATGGGTCCTGTCCTTGTCTGCATCCATCAAGGCCTTCCAGGCATCCCTCAAGGCCTTCCAGGCCTTCCAGGTATCCAGTGCCGGGGCCTGCCGTGACTTGTTGCAAATGCCGAGCCTGCAGGCCTCGCAGCGGGCACTGTTGTGTGGCCCCGTCACTGGTATATCCACCGCGACTTCCAGGAGATCGGAGGACTGGACAGGCTTATTGTAGAAATACTGGAGGATCTTTACCATCAGATTGTGCAGAATCCTCTCCACAGTCTCCAGGCTGAACTCAGGATACTCCAGCTGCGGGTTGGGGCAGCGCCTGCATTCCTGGCGAAAGACTCGCATCCGTATTATGCCCCAGCCTGGGCACTGGCGCATGTGGAACAGGATGAGCACTTTGGCTGACGTCCATTTATGACAGCACTGGGAGCACTGAAATCTGAGAGGGCACAGATGAGACCAACTCATCACAGGCTCCCCATATTGAGCCAGAGGCTTCCTGCTCAGCCAGTAGGGACCAGGGAAGCCATGGCTCCTGCAAGCTTTACACTGAACTGTCATCCCCCTACCAGCATGATGCCAGGCTGGGGAGTTCACTACAAATGTGAGCTGAGGGCTGGTCCCAGCATTAAAGATCTTAGCAGCCAGGCTGTCTGCTGGGATCCTTCCCCCACTGCCAAGAGCAGAGGTCCTTGGGGTGGGAAACATCAGGCCTCTGTTTGGGACCCCAGCCCCTCACCCATGCCAGCTCATTACAGCTCAGCAGAAAGCCAACATCAAGACCAGGACTGGGTAAGACAAAAAAAAAAGAAGTAAAATAGAAGGAAGGTGTGGGTGGAGGCTGCTGCACAGGTGAGGATCTTGAGGAGTCTAAAAATCTGCAACCCGCAGCTCTTCATCTTGCACAATCTGGGCTGGAAACAAAGGTCTCCATTTGCTGCCACCTCAGCAGGGTGTCTGATCAATACCCAGGGTGGAAATGTTTGGGATGGGGCTTCTCATCAGCAATGCAGAGCCACAGCCTCTCTCTGCTGCGAGACCTCACAGCCTGGTGCAGGGGCTGCTGAGGCATCACCCCAGGTCCCGGCAGACAGTGGCTCTCACTGTCCTCATCCTCTGTGTCCAAACCCAGAAGATTTGGTTCTAGTGTGGTGTAACTACCCCTGCTAACTGGAGGAGCTCTTGCATCTTGACACCAACATGGAGAAATTCTGGCCAAATACCAGCTGCCCTTCAGCCCTGTGAAGGCTGCTGCACTCTTCTCCCCTCTAATTATCATGTTTTCCAGTTTTGGCAATAACCTACTAAGCTTTGAACAAAAATGGGAAATCCCCTTCCAGCCTCACCCACCTCCAAACTGCCCCTTTTGTGTCAAAACCTGTTTCCAACAAGCAAATTTTGAAAAAGGAAAAGATCCACATGGCAGCCCATCAACCCTTTTCCCGCTCCGATGGGGACCGAGTCGGCAGTCCCCTACCTCCCAAGAGCACAGCGCTGCACAAACTCCTTCCAGTGAGGACTGAGGGCTTTCACCCTCAGGGTGTCATCCTCCTGAAGCGTCCACTGCTCTGTTACGTGCATTTCTGCAAGCTTCTCTTTGAAAATGTCCTGCCAGCTCATCATGGTTCCACCTGGAGCTGTGGAAGTGGCAGTGACCATGCTTGTAGGTCAAGCTTGTGGCTTCTGAGGGCTAATGCACATGTGAAACTGTCTTTTCCCCAAGCTTTTCCTCTTTGTACGGTGTCTTTGTACTTGAAGAGGGGAACCTTTGCTCCCATGTGAGCAGCACCGCCCCTCCTGATCTCTGGGTCAACAGTCCCTGCTGACACTGCACCAGGTCCTGGCCAGGTAAAATGTCTCCCAAAGCAAGGACAGGTGGGTTTCATCAAGATCCACACATGAACCCCTGACCCTGCAGAGCCATTCTGTCATGATGCTGCTCTGTCCATAGGCAGAGAGGTTGAAAACAAAACCCCCTGCCAGGCTGCCCATGCCCATCACCTTTGTGGCAGTGGGGTGAACTGACAGGTTGCACCCAGCTTAGGAATAATGGAAGTGAAACCCACACAGGACTCAGCAGCCGATAAAGCTCCAGGTAACCTTATCTCTCTCAATAGCTGCCATCAACCATGGTCTATTTTTACCAACTTTCAGCCAACTTAAGCAGAAAAAGGCCTGACATGAAACTGCAGGGTGGAAAGTTGGGGAGGACAGCACAGCACGTAAAACCAAAAGAGGTGAGGTGTGCTCTGAGCTGAGAGCACCTAGGGAAGGTATGAACAGGAGAGCTGGGGCTGCTTGCAGCCCTGTCTCCCAGCTCACCCCTCTCCAGGTGCAAAGGTCCCCCAGGAAATGCCATGGAGAGCAATGCAGGACAGGGAGCAGGTTAGATAAGATGTCAAATTATAATTGGTCTTGATTTAGAGAAAGATCTGCTGCTTGGTAAGGCAAGTCCAGCTTCGGGCAGTCAACGTAGGTAAGTCCCAGCAATGACAGGTTGGCAGGGAGCCTCTGATCTTTGCTGCTGGAAGGGAAAAGCCTACAAATCATTTGTACCAAGAGCCCTCCAACACCTTCACAATGTGTGCTGCCAGTCCTGTGAGAGCAGAGGGACATAACAAGGTCCCAGGGCAGACCATTTCTTCAGCTTTGAGGTTCTTTCCTGTTTTGAGGTCCTTCCACTCTTAATTACCTCTTGATGCTATCATCTAAAGCAGGATTAGGAGGAAGGAAAGAGTGTTCTTGGATGCAGAGGGGCCAAGGTCTTCAGGATCCTTATGAAGGGGTAGAAAGCCCTAACTTGTGGAGGGGACGTGAGTCACCCCCTACCCAAGAGCCCTACTATGGGTACATGGGGTCCTGCTTCGGCTAAGACAGTGAACTACAAGCAGGACAGTGAAGTCATGGTGAAGGTCACCAGTGAAGGTTGGTCATCCCACCAGCCTTTCCAGTGCTCACAGGTCGGGACCAGGGAACATCCCTGGCTCAGCGCTGGTACATAAGAGGAAGGGAGGAAGTAGCAGATCTCCTTGGCCTCTTCTCACTCCTTTCCCAGTGGATCTCATTTCTACAGGTTCACTATAGAAGACTCCTTCATGCATCCTGTTACAGAGGGGTCTCCAGGGCTGCAAATCTTGTGGTGCAGAAAGTGGGAGCTAAGCAGCATCAAGGCTTGCCTTACAGTGGGCACCATGGCCTAGTATGACATGGTGACCCAGCAGCAGCAGGGTACCAGAATGGGGCCCTCACTCTGCAGCATCTGCCTGCCCCCTTGGACTTATCTGTGTTATTGTCCAAGATTTACTCTGTGGGGGTTTGAATGCAAGAAAAATGCAGGCAGATCTGCCTGTGTTCTACCCCAAACACACTGATCGCTTCATCTGGAGGGTCTGTGCTTTCAGCCCAGCTCTTCCTCCCCAGGACTGCTGCCACAGGGCAGAGGGGTGCTCCCGATGGGACAGGCACCACTCCCCATGCTTCCCACTCCAGGGGCCAAAATACTGCCCCTCAGACACAGTGTTCAGTGGGGATCCAGTGGCACTCCTCGCACAGGGATGGGTCCCTGTCTCCAAAACCCAGCTGTGATGGAAACCAGTCCCCTGTTACATCATGGCAACACAACTCAAATCACAACTCACAATGCGCCGAGCCCTCACAGTCATCTCTGAGACAGAGCTGGGTGCTGGTCCCTCTATTAAAGATTTTGACTTGCTTTTACTAAAGGGACTTTCCCAGAACCACCCCCAGAGCTGAAACTGCTTTGACGTCCTGTTCTGTTTCACACACACGTCCTGGCTCTGCCCAAGCACCTTGCTGCTTACCAGCACCTGCTTGGAAACCAAAGCTGCTGCCACAGGGAGCAGCTCAACCTCAACAGAGAGCGGGGATGAGCCCTGTCCTGGACACAGAATGACCCCACTGGGCTGGCAGCCCTTGCTGGAGACAGACCCTGACAATCCTCTCCATCCCAGCATGCTGGTCATGGGTCCTCCATGGGATATGTGAAAGAAGTACACAAGGTGCAGCCTGTGTGGTAATTTCCCTGCTGCTTTCACACAGCCTGAAATGATTTTTTACTTCAGCTCCCACCCCTGGGTGAGCAGCCCCTGCGGAAGCGGGAAAGTTTCCCAAAGTTCTTTCTCCTCCTCTTCATCTCTCAGTGTGTGTCAGCCTCCCTGTCCTCCAGGCCTCCAGCCCAGGCCCATGAAGATTCTCATTGGCCCATGTGCACCCCATCCTTGCTGTGATATCCATTCCTTCTTTTGGGATGGGTCATCCCGTACACAGGTGGCTCCATCTTGCCAGCAGTTCCTAGGAGGGGCAGAAAGGGACATTCAACCCTGGTAACCAGGCAGGACTGTAGAGAGGAACATCCCCTCAGCAGTGGGGATGTTGTGTTCATGGGCGTGGCAAGGTTTGCAGGAAAGATGGACTGACATCTGAGCAACAGGGCAGAACCCTAAACTGCTTGCTTCATATCGGGGCTTTTTCCCACTCTGAAGACTTCCATCATATTTTCCTGCACTGAACACACACAATTCTTTTCCACCAGTCATTCTTTCAGGACATTTTCTCCAGGTCATCAGGGTGAATTTGTTTTCTAACCCTCCACTCAAATAGGCCCTACACCCTCCCTTAATAGCATCTTGCCTTCATGTGAGCCATGCTTCCACAGAAAAGTAGTTTGATGTGTCTGCTCTCATGAGCCATTGATAACTGCTCATGGGATATGGCTTCTTGGGAAACCATTCACCCACAGTGGCAGAATTTCCCATTTCCCCAATTTGCGTATGAGAATGTCACATAAGGCAGCACAAAGATAGCATCACTCCTGCTTTCCCTGCAGTACCCAGCCTGTCGCCCTAGTGAAGAGAAAATGAGGTTGGTTTGACACATGTTCCTGCTAAATGTGTGATCTCAACCGCAGCACTGCCCTTGTCAGTGTTACTGCTTGGTGGCCTTACTAATTTGTTCCGGAGTTTTTCTGGGTACCAAGGCAGGCCGACTCATATAGAGTTTCACAGATCCTCTTTTTTCCCCTCCTTGAAGCAGATGGTAAATTGGGCATCCATATCCTCCTGGGACACAGCTCCATGCCAGCTCTCTATGCCTCAGTCCCCCTCCGACCTTGCCACTGCTGACGTTGAATGGTTGTCACCCTGTTATGGTGAAACCCATCACCTCTAGGGACAAGCAATAGCTGCAGGTTCCCTTCCAGGCTCGATTGCCTCCACATTCAAGCCCTTGGAGAAGGGTCCACCTATCTCAGGGTGGATTTGAGGCAAGGAGTATCAGGTCCTCTGGAAATGGGGGTACGCCCAAGCCAGATTTTAGAGAGGGCACATTGCCCCATCACCCTGGACTTATGGGATGAAGCGGTATGCTGAGCGATGGGGAGAGATTTAATGGAGCAGGTGGATGTGAAGATGTGGCCAGGTATCAGTCCACATGGATTTGGGATACCTGACTTTCAGGTGAGACTTGTGGTGGTCCCTCCAGTCATAAGGAGAGAGCTCAGCACCCTCCAACAAGGCTCTACCCCAGTTCCATGGAGAGTAGGTTTGGTCTTGGGGCAGTGCAGTGGGCAGGCACAGGGTTCCTGCCTGGCCCTCTGAGCCCCCATGTGTCAGGATCTGGTCTGCCACCACCCTCCTTGAGTATCACATCCCAGCAAAGGGAAGAAGAGAGAGAAGAAACTGGAGACGACTCAAAGCAAAACTAGAGAAAGCAAAATGAGGGCGGCGGAAGGAAACAGAGACATTCTACAAGGCTACAGCAGGTTGGTGACAGGCAGGGCAAGGCTTTTGGTGGGACAGGACAGAGGTGCTGTGGCCTGGACCCCTCAGGACACACCAGGGCTGTGCAAGCTGGCCATGGTTAGGGACCCAGGCAGCCTGCCCAACAGCCCATCCCTCCCATGACCAATGACACCACCCACTAGCTCACCCCAGCCTGTCTCTTCCAGAACTGACATCTGCTCTCCCAGCAAGTCAAGGCCATGGCAATGCTTCCATACCACAATGCCACACAGACCAGTGCCATGCACAGACCACCTCATTAACCCAAATAACCCACATACCCGCTGCAGCATCTCCAGTCTAACCTCTTCCAAACCAAAACACATCTTCAAGACCTCCCAGTGATCAGGACAGTGCTCACCTGAAAATGACCTTACTATTCTATGTCCTGACCAACTCTTCCCCCCCACCCAGCATCTTCAATGCCCTGTTTTTCAGGAACAGCACTTTGCTGCTCCATGGCACAGCTCTCCTCAAAGACACTGCTGCAAGTTTCTCTCCATCTTTATCTGCCTGCCCAGTTTTCTCAATATATGGTTTATAAGTTCAGGTTTCTTTAAGGGAAACAGGTTTTTTTAAGGGGTGCTTGTTCACATGTTGTTCCCAACCATCTTTAATCAAGGCTGGGGTATATAAGGAGCCAGGCTGGCTCCCAAGCATCATGTAGAGGGTTTTGTTTGCCTAGGTATAGCTCAGGCATGAGAAGTCACACATCCAAGCTGACAGGGATCAGTCTCAGGTATCACAGAGGGGTCTGGCCACTCTCCATTACCAAGACCCCAGGGTGGGACCAGGGATGAGATTCTCCAGAGGTCACAGCTAATGTGTGGTCTCAGGGAGCTGACAAAGCATTTTGACACTGACATCGGTGACAGCCACTCCTCGGGGGAGTGCTGGGTATCTGCGGTCAGAAGCGGTTGCTGTGACTGCCAGACCAGAGTGTGCAGGAAATGCAGCAGCTT